ATTGGGTGTCGTTGGCTGACGCAGACGCAGCACAGCTGCTGCTACGGGCTGTGGCTGTGGCTGGGGTTGGGGCTGCTGCTGATGCTGCACTCGCTGCACTGGACGCACAGGGAAGCAATAGCGCTGATGCTGTTCCTGTAGCTGATCTGTGAAAGGCACACAAAATTGAACACATACATATATGAGAAATTCATGCAATGACGCAGTCAAAACTGGCCAGTTGCCCACGGTGCGATCGATGCGAAAGGCCCTCTCCGTGGGCGTTTATTTTCGTGCGCAACGTTATATTTAGAATATGAACTAGCGCACATTTTATGTGAACAGTAAAAACCTCCACCCAGGTGCGAACGGAGAGGTAGAGACAGATATCGGTATTTGGTTTTCATGTGCTTAAACTTACCTGTTGGATCGTAGCTATGTTCCGCGGCCAATTGACGCAGCGCCTCGCGTTGCTCTTGCTGCTGGCTGCTGTATTGGGTTTTTGCAGTTGTGGCACGCTCCAGCAGATCCTTGAAGCAACAACAAATGAATATTAGCAATAGACTTAGTATCAGAAAGGCAGCAATTTTGTTGCTTTCTGTAAATTTCGATGTGCGCCACAGGGAAGGTCGTCTGTATTACTGAAACAGCGCCGAGACTTTTCGAGCATTTTGGTCGAAGAATGAGTGTGAAAAGTATTTTTAAATGCAAGAGCGCAGCGCCAAGTGGCTAAAGAAGAGAGAGCACTCGCGCAAATGGATCAGCTCGTGAATTGGGCGTCATGGCAACATGAATGAAAACAGTATATATAACAATATAAACAAGCCGGCTGCATAATTTTCCGGTTGCTGTCCATGATAAAAAAAATTAGCAGCCGCAATTGATGTGATTAACTCAGTAATATATACTTTAGATATACACATTTTCTTTAACTATTCTAAATGAAAACTTACGTATAGAGTCTTGCATGTGCCGCGTTGCAGTCGCGCCGCAATGTCCTCGTCCCGCTCCCTCTGCTGCTGTTCCTGCTGCTGCTTGATTAGGGAAGAATTGCGAGCACGACTGGTGCTCGATCTGGTTGACGTCGTAGACGGCGTTCTATTGAGACTTGCCGGCAATGTTGCGCCTTGTGTGGTTGTTGTTACTTGTTTGGGTACTGCGCCGGTGCTACGATTTGTATCACATTCGTTTTTCATTATTATCTTTACGGGCGGTGTCGGCGCCATCAGAAAATATATATGTACATATACAGCTTGCACAGTTATCAATAATAAACTAACACTGACTGGATACGCGGCAGCTGCTGTATCAATCAGTTGTTTTATTCACTTTTAACTAAGTTGACCGAACAGTTTTCATATATAGATTGCTAACAGAATTATTTACACAATATAAATCGCTTTGACTAATACAATTTACACAAGCATAAGGCGAATCAGAATATTTTTTACAAGCAAACAGCTGCGTCCTGTCAGATAGTGATGTGTTATTTATTATCGATAGCTGACCGCAATAGCGATTATTATTGCAATACATTGTGAGCTGCACAAATCGATAATTTAAATGCAATGAAATATGCAAGGCGCGCGTTAATAATCATTTAACATGAATTTAAAAATCTATTCCCATTTAAAAATAGTACACTAAATATAAATTTAAAATATAAGTAGAATAAATCTAATTTGAGCAATTTTTATTTCATACATGTATACATAGGTTATTCAGCAAGTGAGTTGTATTTATATTCAATATAAGTATTATTCTATTTGCTCTGCTTGCGCTGTATAATTTCCTCCTTCAGTGCTTTAATACGCAAACGTTCCGCACGCAAACTTTCCTCTTGCCCACGCAAATCACTTGTGAAATCCGTGACCATATTGATCATTGCATTTAGGAGCTCCGCATTGTCCGGAGCAGTTTGAGATGTGGATGATTCAGTTCCAGATGATAAAGCGCTTTTGCTAGTGCTACTCTTCGTGCTGGTGCTGCTGCTGCTGGACTGCACAGATTGTGATGACATGGTTTGTTTACTCTCTTGCACCGTCGACGATGATGATGATTTGGACTCCATGCTAGATATATGTTCCTCAATGCGCTTTGTCGAATCGGTCATATGCTGAACTCGCTTGAATTGCGCCTTCAAATTTGCAATTTCCGCCAGCTTTTCCTGCAGATAGTTTGCCGTTTCTTCTTTGTCCTCCTCAGTAGCTGCATGGTCTCTTTCTTCAGTTGCTACGCTTTCCGCAGTAGCGAGTGAGGACTGTGAGGACTGTGAGCCAGAGGTTACAACGCTCACGGATTCCTGCTCCCTGGTGGCAATTCTCAATTGCTGGCGCTGGGCGCTTAGGCGTGTCAGTTCCGCCTGCAGCTGGCGATGCTCCTCCTGCATCTCTTCCAACTGACGATTGGAAGCAGCCAACAGCTATGACAAAACATTATGAAATGTATTATTATGCATGTATTAGTACCTATTATTACCGACGATCATGTTTCATTTGACTCAATTTTTACCTCGCTCAGTGCGGCATTATCTTGGGGCTTATTCAGTTCGTTGACCATTATGTGGACCGTTCCTTGAAAGAAAAATCTTTTTGTTTAGCTGCCGGTTATAATTGTGTTTTTCAAATATATTCACACACACATGCACATAGACACACACACATGAGTAATTAGAGATCCCAAAGCTATAAATAACACATTTTCGACTTTGTGGTAATATTTGTGTCAATCAACATGACAGTCTTCGGTAGGCCCTCATTTGGAAAACAAAAGCAATTATATAAACTTACAGAACGGAATGTGTACAGGCGCTGCACTAGAAATTCAAAATTATGTTCAAATAGCTATATATGCTATGTTTTATATATCTTTTCTTTGCCTAAACAATGCGCTCGTTCAGATGCCAATTTTCCTACTAAATGACTGAGCCGAAAATGAAAATATTTTATACGATAATTTATATACATACACCCATGTGTGTACACACATATATACACATCTATAATGTGTAGGCAAACCAAATATATTTTTATATATACTCAAGTTCGTGGCGCTCGCCAGGCGGCAAAAGTTTCAGAAGCGAAATCTCTACAAAGAACTCTTCTTATATCTTATGAGCATGCATCTAGTATACAAGCAGAATATCTACGATTTTCCTTCAAAACGGCCTTTAGCTTAGTCACCAGTTCATGACGTGCTGTTATCTTGCAAATTAAAATGTTCTGTTCAGTATAAGAGTCAGGTCTCTCATGGAGCTATTGATAAGGGCTCAATGGTATCTGTTATTGAAATAGGTCGACAGAGCTCGAAGACATTAAACATATAAATTTGGTTGGTGCCGACTAACGACAACAGTTAACTTCGACAAGTGCTGCGATATAGAAGTAAGTAAGCCGGATGTCCTTAGATGTACGACAATGCTTAATAATTTCTCTTCATCGGAAGTGAAATTCGTGATATTTATTGGTTTTTTAGCACTATGTCAATATGTATTGATAGAGGCTCAGCAATTCGAGGCACCAGAACCTGAGGAGGATGACACCGTAACAATATTGAATGGAAGCTCTCTTTATACGGGCAACCTAAGCTTGTGCAATAATGTTGCCAATAGAGTTTTTCTGCCCTATGTGGGAGACTGCAAAAAATATTATCTCTGCTGGGGTGAGAAGAATGTAGGATAGAAAGCCTTTTCTCATTTAAAGAATTATATATTCCTATTAGATGGCGAGGCCATAGAAAAACAGTGCAATAAGAACTATGAGTTCAATGCTCGCAACCAAAGTTGCAGCTATCCAGATAAAGCCAACTGTATGCCCAAATGTGAATCCTATAATCTGACGAGCTTCTGCTACGATCGCACCTGCACCAAATACGTGCTCTGCTATTACGGCATTCCAGTTCTGCGGGAATGCCAAGACGGATTGCAATACAACGCGGAGACGGATCGCTGCGATTTCCCCCAACATGTGGACTGTGTGGACAACGAGTGCATGAGATTGAGTGATGCAACGGAGCTGTTGTACTTACCCAGCAAGGCGTCATGCTCTCAATATTTCCTGTGTGCGAGAGGCGTGGCCGTTAAGTCCTCCTGTGCAAAGGGATTGTATTTCAGTACCAGCTGCAATTGCTGTGATTATCCCAATCGGTCGACATGCACGGTGGGTTTCTAGTGGTATAGAATCAAAGCAATCAATCTGTCATCTTTATGTCAATTATGTATTTAGATTCCAGCATTGCAACGCAACATTCAACCCTTTTCCCGTATGCCTCTGCGAAGCGCTGATGTCATCTGTCCACGTCATGGAGCTCACTTCTACGCCCACAAGTCGAGGCGTGATGCCTATTACTATTGCGTGGAGGGCCATGGAGTTACCTTGGACTGTACGCCCGGATTGTGGTATGATGCAAATGTTCAAGAATGCCGCGAACCCGAAAAGATATTGATGTCTTAAGGCGATTAATAAAAACTAAAAAGATTTGTTTTGAATACAGCAAATATGTATATGTATATCAATTTGCTTAAAGGAGTATCCGAAATATTGGAGAGTTACTGATTTGCTACGTCTTATAATTGATGGAGATATGAGAGATTAACTCGAACAAATGTCGAATGAGTTAACTGCAAAGTTTTTAAGTTTTCATGCCCCAGTGGATATATAGTTAGATATATCGTTAGATAGTCGAACGGTTTTCCTCATTTCTGACACTTTCATCGAGAAGAGGGTATTCAAAATATTCCAAATGTTGAGTATGAGTTCAGAAAAATTAATTCACTCATCTGTTATACCTAACTGTTATACTTGTAGGAGAGTAAATTCTTAAAATCTCATATTAATAGCAAACTTTGCATTTACCTCAGCAGTTTCCCCAACACCCTATTTAATTTCTAGCCTATTCGCTCTTTAGTTCTTTTGTCGCCTGATTTGCAGCAGAGATCAGCGTTTCCCGAACGGCTAAAATTAGCTAATGAGAGTCGCGCCTAGGCATTTGCAATGAGCGTCTATAAACAAAATGCAAACAAATTGGTTGAACTTTAAAATTTATTTTGCTGACATCCTCTAGGCCTTCACGAATTGTGGCTCGCGGCATTCCTCCCGCTCGGCATCGTAGACCAGACCCGGAGTGCAGTCCAGAGTGACGGATTTACCATTAGAACAGTAGTAATAGGCATCCTTGCGGGTCTTGTGGGCAAAGAAGTGAGAGCCCTGGTCGGGGCATGTGATGCCCCCGGAGCGTGGTGGGGCCCTGGAAAATGGCTTAATGTCACGCTGTAGGGTCTCAACCTAAACGAAATTAAAATCCTATTATCGATAATGTTCCATATCTGATAAATAGAACACCTACAGTACAATTGACGTGGGAGGGAAAATCACAGCAGTCGCATTCGGGATTGAATTGAAGGCCACTAGCGCAGGTCTGATTAACTGGCAGACCATCCAGGCAAACATAGTACCTGTCACACTTAGACTTGCTGGCGACGTAAACAATGTTGTCCACATTGTTCTGGCGCACGCACAGATTATCCACACAGTCCACATATTGGGGGAAATCACAACGATCCGTCTCAGCATTGTATTGCAGTCCATCGGCGCACTCACGCAACACCGGCTCCCCGCCAAAGCACAGAACGTACTTGGTGCAGGTGCGATCGTAGCAGAAGGAGCTCAATCCCTGCGCTGGGCATGTGGGCAGGCAGCGCACCTCTGAGACGCCCACACACTGTTGTTTGCGAGCATCGAAGAAGTAGCCACTGCTGCAGCTGCGAGGCACAGCTTTGCCGCCTATCAAAGGTATAAATGTTAAATATATTAGCAGTCAGTTTAATAGCTTAGTAAGTGCGTAAGTAGTTAAATTTACTACTCTTATTCAGGTTGGGAATTTATGTGAGCTAGAGCGAGAAGACCCTATGAATGGGGATATGCATGAATGTTGTGTGTTTGTAATGAATGTCACAATGTGCTCTTAAGCTAGGAATATGTGTGAGTTAGAGTGAGATGCCGCTATTTATATGCAATTTGGTGGATATTGAAATCCACCAAAGCTACAAAGGTGAATGCAAATTTCAGACTATGGTGTGTTTTCCGTATCCACCAAAGTGTGTGTTGCCTACGAGAATGCAAATAATAGTGCAATATTCACCTCACAGCACAGTTTTCAGTGGGCAAATTGTAATATTAGATCAAATATATGTACGTATGGAGTTACATCAAACTTACCGACGCACAGATAGTAGTCGCTACAATTATCGAGACTTGGCAGAAAGAGATTGTCGACCACATTGGAACAAATGTTCACATCAGCTAGTCCAACGCCTAGCAGCGTGGCCAATGAGATCAGTGTCAGCAATTGACTGTATTTTATCACTAATAAAAAAAAATATATATAGAGTTACAGTTAAATTATATAAAATACTACAATAAATATGCCATAGTTAATGTTATACTCACTTTTGTCTGATTATCTCGTCTCGTTTCTAACTGTAACTGTGGGCACCGACTCGAAGGAAACTTCATTTTTATAGGCAGCCATTTTGTTTGAGTTTCGCTTTATCGGCGTTTCATGTTTGTTTTCTACTTTTGGCAATCAATTCAGATACATACGATTATTTTGTTGCTCATCGGCGAAAGCGACACTTATCAGAAAGGAAACACGTTCGAAATTGGTAATTTTTAGCAACAGACTCGGTGCATGAATTCAAATTGGATAGATAAAAAAAAACTCATATCACACGCGACGGCAAAAAATAAAAGTTAGAAGGAAACTCTTAAATTATAAATATCATATTCACAATTCAGGTGTTGGTAAGAGAACTGCCTTATCAACAGCGTTTAGGGCGAGCATATGTAAAGTAAATTTACAGCGTGTAATCTGATGTACTCTGGAAAATTTCAGTAGGAGAAATTGATCGGGGTTATTTATATAATCGAAATTTTAAAGTAACATTTTTAAACTCTGTGTCAAAAATATATGACAAGAATCGAATACTTAAATGATTTAAGTGGGTAGCTCTAAGATTGGAATAAGTATTCTAGACAGTATAGAAATATCATATTATCATTGTATTATATTATCCCTAATTGTTAATATAATTCTAATTCATCACTTATCACTAATAGTTAGTATTTATTAAGTAACTTCTCTAGAAACAAGAATAAAATATATTTTATTTCCTATTTCCCTCGTCACATTCATTTAAATTCATTCAGGCATTCATCCTTACCGTTAGTCAAGGCAGCAAATATTCATACTGAGCTACAATGAATTTATTTTTAATTACTAACTATTTTCACACATGCTGTAATTTGAAAGCTTGACAAACAATTTCCAAACAGACTTTTCCGCTTTTTGAATAGATTACACGTCGAGGGGCTAATCGTGTAGAACTCCTATGGGATCAATGGTACTATAAATGAATATTGACTTCAATTAAAATTTGTTCTTTTTATAGTAAATTAAATCATGAAGAAATACGAAAATAATATAGCTTATATAGCTAATAGTTTGTTAAACAACACATAATTTCTTTTGCCAAAGAGTTAATCAAAAGTATTCGGAGGCAATATACATATTAGACAAGTATAAATCGGCAAATGAATTTTCTGTATCAGGTGGCAAATTAAAAATGTAGTTTTCCTTTGAGAGCCTAGCGCGCGTGCCTAAATGCGATAATGTCGCTTTCCGACAACTCATTAGAAAGAGTCAAAGATATGGAAAAAAGTTAGTTCCCCAGCTATAAAAGCAAACTAAACCGAGAGCTTAGCATAGTTCTTTTCGGGAACTCTTCCTATCAAAGAGTGCGTATTTGACTTATTTTTCAAAAACTTTTCCATTGACTTTTCCCTTTGCTTATTAACAGTGAAATTTCTTTATGGATTGGCATTATTTGGCTTGTTCCAATGCTCGGGAGCAAGAGTGCATTTGAAGCTGACGCCACAGTCAGAGGAGATTGTGGCACCTGATCCAGAAGAAAATGTCATCAAGCCCGATGGTCCTTTCTCCAACTTAGTCGTGAACGACATAAATCTGTGCGCAAATATGGCTAACCAGTCCCTGCTGCCCTACATAGGCAACTGCTCCAGCTTCATCTCCTGCGTTGGTAAGTACGAAATTAGCGCGTAAAGAAATGGACTCTAGCTCGTTGAAAACTCTTTCCAGACGGCAAGGTCGACCATATCGGCACCTGTTATGAAGGAGAGCCCTTTGAAGAGCTCTGCAAAGGAAATGCCACAGATTGTCATCTCGTTTTTGATCAACAGTACCAGGTATGCACCTACAGTGATATTGCCGAGGCCAAGTGCCTGCCCGAGTGTGAAGAATACAACCTTACGAGCTTCTGTTACGATCGCACCTGTACCAAATACGTGCTCTGCTATTACGGCATCCCGGTACTGAGGGAGTGCTACGACGGACTGCAGTACAATGCGGAAACGGATCGCTGCGATTTCCCCGAATATGTGGACTGTGTGGCAAACGATTGTCCTCAAGAGATATCGGTCACGAACATTCGCTATCTGTCCAGCAAGGCGCAGTGCAACAAGTACTTCATCTGCTCCAATGGCATGCCCTGGCCCCAAGAGTGCGCCAATGGCTTAGCCTTCAACCCCGAATGCAACTGCTGTGATTATGCGTCCAAGGTCGAATGCAAGGTAAGTAGCTCATTTTGATGCACTCAAATTCATTCAAATTCAACTCATTGTCTTGACAGGAAACGGTGCAGCAGCGCAATATTCAGCCCTATTCCCGCGTGCCGCCTCGACGCGCTGATATCATCTGCCCGGACACTGGCGTTCACTTCTATCCCCACAACTCGAGACGAGACTCATACTACTACTGCGTGGAGGGACAAGGCATCACCTTGGATTGTACACCCGGCTTGTTATACGACCCCAAGTTGCATGAGTGCCGCGATCCCAAATACGTTCAGATCTAAATGTAATGCCAATTGGTTTAAATATACACGTTACGCATAAGCTTATTATGCAATATAGTATACACACACAATTCAGATTTCATATTTTCAATGATCTTTTAATTACTACTGCTACGTTGATCTGTTATACTCATTTAACAATTGAAATGAGTCTATTGGTTCAGCGATGTCTGTGTTGCAGCAACACTGTTGCTGCCCATTTATTATATTTTTGATATACCAGAGTAGAAATTGGGGTACATACTTGCATTGACAACACAACTATAAATATCAAATACATCTACCTCCCTTACTGATTTACAAAAAAAAAAAAAATCTATATCTAGCAATGTCTTGGATCAGAGTTTCGACCGTGAATGAGTATTGAGCAGCAGTAGCGCCTGAATGTAATGTTCTTGTAGTTTTCATATTACTTTTTCATAATTTCACAAAAGCTCTTTTATCCCAGACTCAAACCATTCTGAATGGAAGCTCCCTCATTGCGCATGACTCGTACAGCTACCGCGTCTTTTGAGAGCAGATTGAGACCCCATTTGTGCAATGACCACCCACTCACACTCACACTCACACACACTTACACCCACACACACACACACACACACATGGAGTGTAACCAATACCGAAAGCAAAAACCAAATGTTGGCAGTCTCTGAATTCGCTTTGCAAGGCAACCAATACACACACGCACACACTTCCACCCACACACATGCACGTGCAGAGAAACACGCTCTATGAAGAAATAATCTTGAATCTGAACTCATGAAAAGTGAAAATGTTTCGCTAGCTGCATTCAGAAATTCAGTTGGCGCTGTCAGTTGGCTGCTGGTCCTTGCGCAGGAGGCAGCAGATAGTCAAAATGCGAGTTTAGAGACGCGCGCAGTGCTTTCGTTAGTGTAAACATAGTAAAAATAATAATTTGACGAACACTTGGCATTCGATATGTGAAATCTCAATCAATGTTTCGTTGCATTTGACAATTTAAGAATTTGGTGTTTGATTCACGTTCGCGTGCTTCAGTCAAGGCTGGCAGAAGGAGACGTTTTTGTTTTTTTTTGTTTGCCAGTTGTGTTTTGTTGTGTGTATCGCATGTGCCAGGTCAGTTGAGCGTTCAAGGACTTTTTCGTGCAACAACAACATCAACAACAACAACAACGACGACGACAACGACATCAACAATAACAATAATAACAATCAATGTGCTTCAAGTATGCAAAAAAAGCAAAAAGAAATGCAAACGAAAACTCTTAGCTGTTAGAGCATAATAGAAAGATAAATAAATACAGGTAAAAGAGTGTTAACAAAAGCCACCCAAATTGGCATGCACTTGAAAATGAAATGCACACCAACACATACATGCATTCACACACACACATACACGGACTCACACACACACCCACACCAAGGCACTCGTATTGCATTGAAACTGTTCGCATTGCTCATACGCAGCGTTCGCCATCAATGAGCAGACAGACAGATAGACAGACAGATAGTCGTGGGAATTATCCAGATAGCTTTAGCACCAAACTGATTTAATGCCGTTGCCTCTGCGTTTTCATTTTCATTTTACGTATTTGGTCTCCACTTTTGCGAATCCACTTCCCGCCAAGCAGAAAACGAAAATGATACAAAAAAGACGCCCGTAAAGGTTAACGGCAAAAACAAACCATCAAATAAAGAAGGTTGAAAAAATTCCAGTTCACAAAGAGTGAGAGTGAATGGCTGGGCCTTACTGCAGGGACTCGTTACCCTTATGTGCGGGTCGCGTAGTTTCCTGTTTTCAATTCTTGCTTTTGTTCGGCATATTTTGCATAGCTTCTCGCATCTGGTAAGCGCCAGTGACACGGAACACTTTTTCTTTCAAAGAAGGCTCACAGGATTGCCTATTGTCTAGACAAAGACTTGTTTGTTAAGTTATTAAGAATTGGCTTACCCGCATAACAGTGCAATGTTGTGCTATATAAAGAATCTTTGAAAATAGAAATGAAATGATTTTGTTGCAAATATAAGTAAAGATTTCCACTACTGTCTATTCATTTAATTTATTTTAATATTTATTATTAAATTATTATATTGAATTTAATTAAAATAAAAAGTTATCCCAAACGTATTTATAAATTAAAATTTGTAAAAATTAAAAAAAAAAAATTAAAAAAAGTTGTCCCCTGTTTCCGCCCGGGATCGAACCGGGGGCCTTCTGCGTGTTAGGCAGATGTGATAACCGCTACACCACGGAAACAGCTGAGGGCTACGGAGCCAGAAATGGCTTTTATGCTTGGCAACATGTGCGTTAGTTGAGTAACATACGAGCCGGCCACAGCCAAACAAAATCAGAAAACGAAAGGAAAACAAAAGAAGTCAAAAATAGAACAAACGCATATAACAATGGCTAAAGATAACGTTGCATATATGTACAAAAATATACGTGTTTGCGCTAATATGCCTACCTGCATAACTAGCTCATTTAGAGCTCAAAGTAAAAGTTTTTGATAGTAAGCTCGGACCAAAGGCTGATTTGTATGTATGTTTGTACGTATGTATATAAATGTTTACATACATATTTATACAACATACAACTTGTTTTTGACCGAACTTGCTTGTATATAAGGGGCTCAATTCAGATAATAGC